TCAAATTTAAAACATAGATTGTCAATAAAAAAATAAAATAAACATTAGTTAATGGATAAATAATTTTAAACTTTTTTCAAAATTTTGTTGCAAACCAAATCACAAAATGCAGAAACAGGAAAAATTTAACAACAGAAATGATGGAAATAGTATATTATTGATGGTTGGTAATGAAAACATGAAGATGCAGAAGGGAATATCTGCTCAGAGAAACGAAAGTATATCTAACATATATGATTCTCTATCCTGACCTCTTCCTTATGCCGCAAAATGAAGGAACATGAAATTATGGATGATAAATAAAACAAAACCATCCGTTAGTTCCTTACAATTTTAATAGAATTACATTTTGAATGGTAATTACATTATGATGGAGGGTGAAGAATTTGAAGAATATGGTAAAGACATCTTGTTAGTGGTTGTGAAAAATGCTTAGGAAGATTGTGATAGATTTGGAATAGTATGTAAGATAAAAAAAAATAATATACTAAAAATGGAATGTATTACTTTACGTAATTAAACTCTGAATAATCTCCTGTAGTAGACAATAATTGTATTATTAATTATAACCTTTGTCTTTATCAAACTAAACTAACCAATAATAAACTGATAGACTTTCTCATTCTTTATTCTACGTATATACATGATACCTAATTAGATATTTGAGCCTAATTTATTGGACCTTTGGGCCTACGACTAACATAAACATTAATAATTAGAGGTCTACTAATAATACTCTCCTTCAAAAGTTTCACCTTGTTCAATAAATTGTTAGTTGATGACTTCAAAAGCTTTCCATATTACTTTAAATTCTATTTGTCTTTCCATTGAATGAACACCTCCACTATGTTGGCAACATTAGTACGGACAACCATGAAACACTACTATAGAAAATTGATACCATGATTGTTGGAAAAAAGACACCACAATAGATGACTAATCATTTTGAGATAAGTGGTAGTTGTATGTATTATGCTTTTCACCGCGAGAGCGCAACCGTGATTGTATGTCAAGTAGTGCGTTGCCTACGACAATGGTTATTCCACATAACCGTTGTGATATAATTTAAAGAAAACCTTTTAACAATGACTTTTCTAAACAAATGTTGTGGTATATACACTAGATTTATTATAAATGATGTGAAATACTTATTTCACACATGCTCACTAAACATATAACCTTTCATTCTGATCTAAAACATTATAATATGACAAATTAAGTTATATTAGAAGAACAAATTACACGTTCAATGCTAGACAAGAATTCTTTAGCTCCTTATCCGTATTTTGCTCTTTAATTGTTAGAACTTGTTTTAATGCTCATAGTTTTTCAACCCCTTCCTTCACCTCTAATTCATTTTGCAACATATTATTTATATTGCAAACTAAATTAGAGGTGAAGAAAGGGGAGATTGAAAAATAAGAAGCATTAAACCAGGTTCTCACTATTAAAGAGCAAAATGCAGATAATGGACCGAAGGATTCTTGTTTTGAATTGAACGTGTAACTTGTTTTCAAATATAACTTTATCTATCATATTATAATTTTCTAATGCAATTCGAAAAGTTATATATTTGACAAGGTGATGGAAAAAGAAGCAAACCACATAAGATATAATAAACTCATCTAAAACAAATATTAACAACAACATTCATCAACAACAAACCTTAAACAACATAGAACGTACCTGTCCCTTAAAGAAATCCAAAATAAAAGGAAATGAGGATGAAACTGAAGTAAGAGCAACAAACATGTGTTTGCAGCGCTCACATAAGTTTATTGTGCTCACTTTAGCTTTATCCCTGTTAATTTTTTCATTCATCCAATCATACCTACAAGTAAAAACAAGCAGAAACATAAATAAAAAAATAAACAAGTAAGAACATTATATGTTAGGGTTTGAAACAAAAATAATAACTAAAATTTAAACATTATATGTTAGGGTTTAAAACATAAACAATAAGTAGAAACATAAACTAAACAATAATAGATAAACAAAAAATGATCTTACCTGTGATTAGAATCTGTAAGGGCCGGTATTTTCGTCTGTAAAACTGGTAATGAGGAGGAGGGGGTGTACGTGCAAGGCACTCTGACGTTCAAGTAAGAAAGAGTGCAAAGAGATATATTTTGATGCAATTCAAGATGCTCTTACTCCTTGTGTCACCGGTCCCACACCTTTTTCAAAATGGATGTGCTTCCCAAAAATGGATGTGCTTTGTATAGCAAGTGCATATGACAAGATGTATCGATCTGATAAGATATGATTTTTCGGAGACATTTTATCCACTTAGGAGTGGCCCACCAAGAGATCATTCTGGACATATTATGTGTATAGGGTGACTTTCAAAATTGAAATATTTTGTTAAAATTTATTTGAAACTGGTGTTCCTATACAAAGTACATCGCTGGAGTGGGCGGCATATTCTACAAAAAAAGGCAGAACTTGGCTGGATCAATTTCTGGAAAGGATGGAAGAGTTCACCAAATTGAACAAGCATGAAAGAATGTCAAAGGAGGAACCAGTCGTAGATTTATGCGATGATACATCTTTTGATGCATTTAGATTGTAGCTGATACACTTTTTGGAATGTATTATCTTCAACGATGTAATCTTGATACGATCTAATACATAAGTAATATATATATATATATATATATATATATATATATATATATATATATATATATATATATATATATATATATATATATATATATATATATATATATATATAAATGTCGATTGTTTCTGTTTACACATTTTATTGTTTACAACTTCTGTTTATGTTTTATAAGTTTCTGGTTTGTTTTTGGTTTAGGGTTTATTTCGAAGATACATCTCCGGATAAATTCCATTGTAATCTTAAAAAAAACACCAGGGAACTTTTCAAAGATGCATATCCGAATAAACTCTTTTTTCGTAAAATAATAGGGTTTATTCAGATATGCATCTCTGAAAAGTGCTTTGATGACATGATAAGGTTTCTAAGGTCCAAAGTGATCCAAGCCTTGTACAAATAGGATGTCATTCATCCCATTTTTTTTTACAAAACACTCAATATCAAAAAATGAATATATATCCCCACCTTGCATTTGTGTATTTCAATGGTGAGATATTGTCACTCCAGGTTAGGGTCTAGGAGGACATAACTCACGCCTACCTGGTATCCAAACTGAATTCGCTCCTATGATATCCAGAAAATTGACAAGTTTTCAAGCTCGAATATCGCTCACCCTCATTTGACAGTAACGAGAAGATACAGTTCACCAACTTCGAACTAAAGACGGATTCAGATTTAGAGGTTATGTGGAGTTCTTTTCGCTGATATGAAACAAAGGGTCTGATTTAAGTGGATGAGAAGATTTCAAGATCCGCTGAAGATATTAGCATCATGTTGCAACGTCTGGAACTATCCGTTTATAATGATGTGTAATGTTAATTTTTCAATTGTCAATTATCTATGTAATGTTGAGTGTTTTAATTTAATGTCAAGTTGTTATGATTATCAATTATAAATTTTCAATTAACTAATGATATTCATATTGTCTTTGTTTCTGTTTTTCATTTGAAGTATCAGAGATATTATTGGATATACATCTTCAAAGCATTTCATACATATTTTCGAAGATGCATCTCCGAACTAAAACTAAGTATAATGGAGAATGAAATTATTCGAAGATGCATCTCCGAACTAAAACTAAGTATAATGGAGAATGAGACTGTTCGAAGACGCATCTCTAAACTTTAGGGACATTTTTGGATTTTCACCAAGGGTTTGTGAGAAGGCATAAGAGTGGGAAAAGAGATTGTCTTTAATTGGTTCACTCTAAAGCCCGAAATTAGTCAGAGACTCACTCTTCTGTTATTTGTTTGTCTTATGTGGTGAAGTTTTTCTTCTAATTTACGTAAGAGGGTTGCTCTTTCTAGCCTTATGGGTGCTCCTACACTCTGGTGAAAAGTCAAAAATATCTCTAAAATCTAAAGATGTATCTCTGAATGCACCTAAAATTACACCAACACACTTCTATTTTGTCTTAAAAAATATCTAGAGATATATATTCGTCAAGTGTTCTATTGCAAATAATCCTCTGTTTTTTTTATAATGGATTTTTTCATTTGAACTATTATTATGTTATCTAATTTTGTGACAAATTATGCTGTTAAAATATTTCAATTTTCTTTATAAAAAACACATGATGTTGGCTTTTGTCTTGAGTAGGTTGTTTAGTTATAAAGTAAGATTAAGATCTTGGCTTTAACATCTTAAGAACTGAATGAATGAAAAAAAGACATCATAAGGAGATACCTCTCTAGATTGCATCCTACAATTCTTTTAATAAAATAGAAGTGTATTACTTGCAACGCCTTTGTTGGTGTAAATTTTAAATACATTTGGAGATACATCACCGGATACAAGAAGAGCATTTTTTGGATTATCAGAGACTAAATAGATTCACGGGCTAGCTATTGATAAAGGGGCTTTAGCTATTTCTCATGTTTTTTTGGTGAGGACAATCTAATCATTTGCAGGGAAAATGAAGTTCAAGCACAGGAGTTATGGTTCTAAGTGTTGCACAGGACTCTGTTCACCTTGATCACACACGCATGCGTTCTCATTCTATGTGTATATGCCTATGTAAACTTATAGAACTGAAAAAACAATTTACACAAAACATTGGGGTAAAACAAACCGAAAAGATATTCGATCAAGATTTCACTATTATCAGACACCTTTAGAAAAAGGTCTAGTTCTATGAATATTTACACCAATCAAATGGTCAAGCTATTTTATTATTTATATATATGGCATGTTAACATCGCTTTCACAATTCTCTTTAACGTTTGTATATGGATCAAGCTGAACCACTTGCAAAATTTTCTGATAAGAAAAAGAAGAAATGCGTCAGATATTTGCAAACAAGTGCATACAATATAATGGGGAACTGAGGCAGTTCGACTTGCCTGAATAATATGAAATCGCCTTTCAATAAAAAAATTTATTTCAATTTTGAGTTTGCTTTGCACATGTTTTTCCATTTATCCTTTAAGTCTTGTGGAGTTCGAAGCCTGTCATTCTTCTCAAACAAGTGAGAACCGAATGCCAAAATTTTCTTCCATGGCAGATTTGAGTCGCTGAAACCAAACTTCTGGACCCCCTCCTACACAGTGAAAGCAGGCAATTGTTACAACAACAAAAAAATATAAGTAACTTTTAGATATCAAGCCATAAAGCTCAAGGTGGAAGAAACACATATAAGGATCCAAATCCTTTAACTTTCTAATGCAGTATTAGTTGCGGTAGCAAAAGGAATCCATGCAATTTGGGTGCTTAGAAAGTCACACTAGTTCCATGAAGTAATGACGAGAAGAAAAGTAATACCTGTATAAGCTCTTCCTCCTCAGCTGTCCATGGGATTTTTTTCCGTCTTATCTGAGAGCTTTCTTGGATTTTGCTGTGACTCAAAATATCAATCAAATTAGAATGAGCATAATAGTTCCAGTCCTTCAAAAGTAATTGTTACCATGATGGGCATTTGGTTAATGATTTATTTTTGCATTGGATTAGTTTTTGTTTTACCTGAAGACTTTCTCGCTTTCAAGAAAAATAGCATGTTAAATGATTAGAAACAGATTTAGATTAATGTCACTCTGATCACACAAACTTTCTTCTTATATCCACCCGGGAAAAGCTACAAAAAGATTAACAGACCATTTATTCTTTCCCTTCTCTCTCCTTCCGAACCTTGCTCCCACATTTACCTCCATTTGGCTATTAAAAGTGTTTGTAATAGACCAAAGAATGGTGTATTAGATACAGTGCCGAGCATTGAGTTAGCTTTTTGGTACCTCATGAACTGACTGAAGAAGTAAGAATGTCCGCCAAAGAATAGAATTGAAAAGTTTTAAGAGTCCAAATTGAAATGCAATGGGAAAGATTACGTAGATAGAGTAATAAAGGGAGTTGAGCCAAATTAAGGGAACTCAACTGAGAAAACCTTCGGGTTTTTGTAGTGATGTGTGTGCATCAATGCAACATTCCTCCTAGTTTGATTTGCTAGATTAGTAGTTCTAGTTCGGGGCATGTTTTTAAAATAGTGAAATTATGTAATTCCGTCCAAGCCCAAAAAGGCAAATTCCTAGGAATAGTTCAGAACATGGGAATTCCCATGAATGGTCCAAGTCAACCAAATATAGAATTGATAGATTCCTATGCATACCACTCCTATGCAGGTGAAAAACTTGAGTAAACTCATCTTCAATAATTTATTTGAAAATTGGATCGAAATTGCCAACATCAAAATATTCTTACCAAAAACCTTTGAAAGACTGCACATGATCAGATAAGAAGAACTCCTGAACAGCTCAATTACTAAGAAGTTCGATTATCATATATGGTAGGAAAGTGTAGGAACTTACTTCTGAACTCCATGCATACGAAATCTCATGGAGTATCTAGAAATAATACGCTTCTTGCATTCATCTTTAGAAATTTCTTCTTTTACAGTATTGTGAGCCCAAACTGGCTCTACTGTTCCATCCATACTGTGCTCTGTCATATTCTGCAGAACTTCTTCATCATTACTTTCATTAGCACACACAATCTTTAGCTTTTTACAAGAAAACTTTTCATTTCCATGTCCACCTGCATGATCAGTTTCCATTTCTCTGTCTTCAACTCTTTCACCAGTTAAGCTCTTTGCATTCAGCATTTCACAGTCATCCTCTTCTCTTACATCACCTGCTAACTCATTATTTACATTTTCCTTTTCTCTGAAGGATGATGAGTGAATCACTGAAATAGGAACTTGTTTCTGACTTCTTTCAAAAGGAAAATTACCAACTTTATTTGAATTCTCACCAGCACGATCTTCTTTATTTTCTTCATTCACTGTTAACGGAGTATGCTCGCACTTATAACTCTTTCTTGAAAAAGTACATTCTTGTCTACCTGATTCATGAACATGTTCTACAGCTTCTTTTCTTATACCCTTACTAATGAAGATAGCTAATTCTTTCCTTGCCAATGAAGCTATTTTCTTGGCTTCAAGATATTCTGAAATAGTGTGAGAATAAGCACAAAATGGGCAGAAAAAGTTTCCCTTTGCATCCAACTGAGCAGATGCACCCAGGCAGTTTTTATGCACCATCCTTGAGCAAGTGGTAGTTTTACAAACCAGTAATTGCCCAGCTTCATTGCACTTCATGCAAAGATTTTGTCTGGTTGATTCAGTCATTGCTGGCAAATCTTGACCAAAAGTGTGCTGGGAGTTCAGGAATTCATCTTTTTTGGCTACAAAATCAATCTTTTCGTTGTGATACTCATCACTACCATTTGATAACTCTGCTCCACAATCATTGACAGTATCAACTACAGCTTTGTCACTAGCAACTGGCTTCCGAGAGGCATTTATAGATGCAACATTTGGCTCCTTCTGCTGAATTTTATTTGCATTACCATCATATGTTGGAATGGGCTCAACATGTACAGTATCGTTAGTTTCATCTATATATTTATTATGGCAAGGATCAACTCCAGATGTATGCTTAGGATAAATGTTAGTCGTCATACCAATACAACTTTCAGGAACCAATAGTGGGCCAGTAACCGCTTCACAAACCAGTAATTGACCACCTTCGCTACACTTTGTATCAAGACTTCTCTTTTTGTGCTTTTTCATTACAAGATTAATCTTTTTACCTTGGTACGCAACTGTATCACCTGGTATCTCTATCCCACAACCATGACCAGTATCATCTTGAGCTTTAACACTACTAGCAGTCTGCTGGGAACATTTTAAATCTTTAATTTGCAAATCTGGTTCAGGTTCAGACCGGGTTTTACCTCCAGAAGTTTTCTGCTGAGGCGTCAAAGTTGCCTTAAAGGCAATATCTGATTCAGCATGAAAGGCTTCATTTTGACCACTTGACTGACATAAATTTGAAGCAGAACACCTATTATGACTAGCCTCTAAGGATCCATCACTCTGAGCTTCCCTGTTTTTCTTTCCGGTGTGATGCCCTACATCCTCAAAAATTAGAACTTTTTCAGTCGAGTTTTCTGATACTTCCTTTTCACACTGAGAAACTTGCTTTTCTTTCTTGGAATCAAAATTTGCCGATGCACTACGTTTAGTCCTTTTGGTACTTAAGAATTCATCACGTTCATTTATACAAGCCTGATTTTCATTAAAGCAACTCATTAAGTGCTCATCAGCCGAGTAAACTATATTCTTCTTAGAGGATAAACGTTTATTATTAGGTAAAACTTCTTTCGAAGATTTGTTGCCATCCTCTAATATTAAGGATACTGAGTTTTCTTTTGCTCCCGTGTCTTCTGCATAAGTAGAGTTCCCATCATCCTTCACTGAATGATCACTGCATTTACCATCATTCACACATATTGTATGAGGCTGATTCGTTGGGAATAATCCACTCCTCTCTTTTAAATGATCAGTAAGTGGCAGTGTACCTTCCAATATTGATTCTTTCAGCTATTCAGCAAGATGAGAAGCACAAACCAAATAAAAGATGTGAATGACACAATACAAATTTCAAAAGGGGGAGGGAAAAGCAGCTATTTTTCTTTTTATATTTCTCAAAAGGTAAAAAAAGACACTCTCGTCACCTTCTCTAAGTGACATTTCACATTGTCAGCTCTTTTGTGTGCGATAAATGGGTTAACATCCCATTTCAATAGCCCTGCTCCAGCAATTCTCAGATTTGATAAAGGCACCTGATTCATACATAACCAGAAAGTAATGATTTTATCTCAAACTCAATTAGCATAACTGTTAAAATGAGTCACATAATAATACATCTCTTAGTTGTATAGAAACATCAATTAGCTACTAATTAAGGAGAGATTGTGGTCTAATTCTTTATGACTCCGTGCTAAATGCTAAATGGAACCCTCTATGATATTTTGCATAAAAAAGTAAATGCTACTCATTGCAGGAGAGTATGAACTGAATCCATATGAGACACCTCTGATTTCAGGTAAGGCCCGTGATTGCTATTGCTTACAAGAAAAGGCAGGCAGAGCGTTTAAAATTTTATGTTAGAAAAGTATGTTAGGAAAATGACAGAAAGGTTTTAATTCGGAATCACAGTCTTCAATAAAGCAGATAATGGTGGTCAGATGTGGCCTAAATTATGGTAGTACATTGTAGTCAGAGACATGAAATACCATGATGCTGCGGTTCATATTGCAGCAGCATACTTTTGTTTAAAACATTGTCAACTATGAACACAAGTAAGGCAGGTCATTCGATAAAAGAAGGAACGCGAGTGAAATTTTATTGCTTGTTTGGTATGGCATTTGTGATTACATTCTCGCGCCCCAATGCCAATTTAACATGAGTTTTACTAAGCTAGGAATTGTTGATAATGCTGGTTGCGCGGTGATACGACAATTGAACGCGGAAACAAACATCAAACACATACTTAATAAAGTGTCATTTATGTTACCAAAAATAATGAAAGGTTAACGGTTATTACATATATTCCGTAGTCGAACCGCGATTGGTATTAAATTAAACATAAAAGAAGAATGAAGATTTTAAATTGTTTACCTCATGCAATATTTCTTGAAGAACATCTTCACAAGATCGCGAAGAATCAAATTCAACTCTAGAATCCAACGTTGAAGAAGAAAACGAAGCATAAAGTTCCTCCAAACACCTCGAAGCAACCAATTCCTTAGTATTTTCACAAAAACCATCACGCCTTACAGGTGCTGCATCAATCAAACCTACAAAATGACCAATCATGAATTCATTTACCCAAACTGAAAATTTAAAATTAAGAAAATAAATGGACTGTAAAGTGGATAGAACCTTGTAAAATGGATAAGGGGATTTCTTTGAAACCTGCTAGGGTTTCAATTATCCAATGCCATGGAAGTTCTGAAAATGGTTCAAGTTTATCATCCATGAGTGAGTTTGAGACTTGTTATCAACGCATGGAAAGCGCGTTCACTAAGCGACTGGGGGAATGAACAATGTGTGAAAAGCCAGAAATGCTTCGAAGAATTGAATGAACGCGATTTTGAAAATCTGATTCAGTTTGGTTCTAGTTTGGAGACTCTCGAATTCCTTCTAAATTGTAAAATTGATTTGAATAGAATGGATTTTTGTCTCTAAAATTAGTATAATTTGGAATTATAATTTATAATTTTGAGTTGTCCAAACATAAACTTTTTATGTATAAATTATTTTTAATTAAATTTATTTTATAAAACTAATTTATTATTTTATAAAACTAATTTATTTACGGGTTAAATATATTTTAGGTCTCTGAATATTTTAAAATTCGTTTTTAATCTCCTAAACATTTTTGTTTAATGAATTGTTCTCCTAAAATTTTGCGTCCTTAATTTTCATTCATGACGTCTATTGAACTTAACGGATGCAGACGTGGACTCTGATCTGACATTTATTATTATTTTTGATAAATTTTGTTGCTGATGTAGTATATGTCACATAAGTTATGTTGTTGACTATTCATAAGTCACATAAGTGATGTTTTATATATAGTAATATTAGAAAACCCTAGATTAACTTTCACTCCCAAAAATCGATCTTCACACTTGTGTTTTCACTCGTGTGTTCTGTGCAGAAGGTTAGATCAAATGAAGTTTGTGCAATGTTTGTTTGTAGTAACTTGTAATAAATCGTTGCATATTTCAACTTTGATTGTAGTTATTGTCATTGCGTTGCTCTGTGGTCTCATCCCTGTTTTGCAAAGGTGCTCATATGTGGTCCCTCGACAACGAAATTGAGGTAGGTCCACATGTTCTTCATTAGATTCTATTTTATTGAATTTTGGTATAGGAATTGTATTTTATTGGTAGTGTATTCAGGAATTGTATTTTAGGGTTTTTGTGGATCCATATTTGAGTCTCAGTTTACATTCATTATGTAGGGATGGTTGTCTTTAAGGTAATTTTTTACATAAAAGGTTATTTTGTAAAAGACTTAATGCTAAAGTATGAGGGTAGAGAGGTATATGCATTTAATGGTCAAGATAATGAATGTTGGTCGTTTTTTGATGCTTGTGACTTGATTAAAGAAATGGATCATGGGTTTGAATATAGTAGTGTTAGGATGTGGTGGGAACATGGTGAAGATACTTTAGAAAATGATCTAAAACCATTTAGGGATGATGGTGATGCATTTGAGGTTGCTGTCTTTGTTCATGAATGCAAATGTGAGGTTGAAATATACACTGAGCATAAATCAAGTACGTGGGCTATAACTTTTATGGAGTTTTCATCACTAAGGCAGTTCAAGAATGCTATTTTGGAACATAATGTTGAATGGGAGGGATGTTAGATTTGTGAAAAATGATGCAGTGAGATGTAGGGTGGTTTGCAAGGAGAAATCTCAATGCAATTACAATGTACTCTGCAGTAAAGTCTTAACATCAACAACCTTCAAAATTAAGACTTTGATGGAACAAATAAGGCTTTGAAAACTTCTTGTAGGCCATTTATTAGACTAGATGGATGTCATCTGAACCACAAGTATAATGGGATACTATTAATAGATGTGAGAAGAGATCTTAATGACCAATATTTACCTATTATATTTGGAGTGGTAGAAACTGAGTGAAAGGACACTTGGAGTAGGTTTATGCATTTACTTCTTGAAGACATTGGTGAACAAGATGGTGTTTCATATTTGACCAACAAAAGGCAAGTCCAATTCTTGATCTTTTTGTAAGTTACTTTCATTGCTTGAACATTGATTTATATGGTTTTATTGTTGTATTCAGGGTCTTGTACATGTGTTTGAGGAACAATGCCAACACTTAAGCATAAATTCTGTGTGAGACATCTACATACTAATTTTAAAAAGAGGTTTGGAAAAGAACCAATACAAACCATAGGTGAAAGTTATGTTTTGAACTAGGAAACAGCAAAAGAACATGCAAGAAAAACAAACAAAATGTGATTGTTCCATCTGGAAGTACAAACCAGGCTAGTCAAGGATTACCCACATAGGCCAGTCGTTCAAAGACCACGCAAGTGACTGAAGAATTACCTATACGAGCAAGTCATACAAGCTAAGTTAATTTGGCACCAAAAAAGGGTAGTGTCATACTATCCTACTTTTCTTGCCATGTAAATTACCTAACAATGCTAATGTTGTGATTGTTTGATACAGGGAAGGCCTAAAGGATCTACTATCAAGGGCGTTGTAACACCCCAAATATTATATTTATTATTTAATTGTGTTGTTGCGGTTTGCGTGATTTAATCGATGGTTTGATGGCATGTTGTGGGATAGTGTTGGGTTGAATAAGATAATTGGAATTATTGATAATTATAATTATTTGGATTTATTTTAATAATTAAATAAAGATGATATGAGGTGTATATATGATAAGGGCATTATGGTAATGTTCAGTAAAGTAAGTAGGGATAAGATGGGAATATCATATTAGGGGTCTAAAGGGTAAAGATTACTTAAGAGAAAAGTTGGAGAGTGAATCAAATCTTTGGAATGATCAAACTCTGAGAGAAGCTGACACGTAGAAGTGAGAAGAGCTAGGGCAAGGGAACCCATTATTGCAGTCGAGGAACCGTCAATCCAAGGTAAGGGTGGGGTTCTGACTATCTAAGGGATTGTGTAATGAAAACTATATGGGGGTTAATTCGTGTATCACCATTGATAGGGATTTTAGGTTTGTTTGGGGTTTTGTGAATCAATTGATAATATGGTTATTTGTGTTGAAAATTGTGTTTTATGATGTACAAAATGATATGATTTGATACTCATAACCTGTTTGATAATGTGTTGTTGTGGTGGTGTGATTAAATGCTAAATTTTGATGAAGTTGGGATTGTACTGTGTTAGAATCGTAAGGAATTAAGACTTAAACTAATGCAGAATTTGCAACAAAGGGTTGTTGTTTCACATGCGTCGTCGGGCGAGCCAGCCGCGAGCGAGCAAGCGAGCCATTCTCCTTTGCTTCTTTGGGCGAGCCAAGTGGCAAGTGTATGGTGGAAAAACAAGGTTCCTAGAAAATGTATGGGAGAAGGTTCTCTCCCCATCATCGTCGGGCGAGGGAGAGGCGAAGGGATCGCTTCACCGTGCGAGCCTCTTGCGCCGCCGAGCGAGGGAGCATGCAAAGGATATGGCAGAATGAGGTGCTCTTAGAAAAAGTATGGGAGTTTAGGCCTCACCTACGTTTCTCCAGGAGACCCTCGGGCGAAGCAGCACTGTAGAAGAATTTTTTTAGAAACTTTGAAAATTCATAACATTTGACTCGGTGTCTGTTTGACGCACCGTTTAAACCTACAGAAAGCTAAAATCACTTTCTATCTTATGAAAATACTTCCAAACCCAGTAGATTATTATTTGTTAGAGCCTTATACCTTTCTGTATGTAATTTTGTCTGTTGTGTTGAGGTATATGCATGCTCTTATGTATGATAATGTTGTGTGATGTCGTTTGAACTATATGATTGGTATGTCGTATGTGTGGGCATATAGTGGTTGTATTGGTATGTCATATTGATAGATGTAGATTACCAATGTGTTTTGTTTTGTTGCATGGTTGTGTCTCATGCATTTCCTATTGTGGACTTCATTCTTGTTTTGTTGGCTCGGATCCTAGATGGCGGGGATCAGAATAATGTTATTGGCTCTGATCCTAAATGGCATGAATCAGGAGCGAGGCGAACCAAATTGTTCATGATATTGGTGGCTCTGGTCCTAGATGGTGTGGATTAAGGAGCGATATTGGTACCATATGCATTGAGTCTGTGAATCGGTCTAATTGCATTGCATTGTGTAACACCCTATATACCCCCGCATGATTATATGGCATAATCAGAGTAAATTAGCATGCATATCAAAAGAGGGTGTCACATGTATTTCAAAACCAACATAAATACACCGGTCATACTCATAACACACATTTAAAATCATATTCCATATACTAACACATATGCATATCATAGCGGAATAATTCTCTTTTCAAAACGATGTCATTAATTGAATTCCATAAATAGAAATAATATATTAAAACATTAGGCACTAAAGGTCATTTATCACATAATCTCAGTACAACATAAAATAAAAGAGATTATATCAAACATCTCTTAAACACAACATGAGTTCAAACGTTTTCCTGTGTTACATAACCAGAGCATGACTCACTACCTAAATATGGATAAACAAAGAACTAGCTCCTCCGACTAATCCTCGCAAGAAGCGCCACTATCTTCGGTACCTGAACCATGTCATATAAAACATCATTTCAATATAAGGGTGAGAATTCATACTATTATTATAGAAATATATAATAATAATAAGTTATGCATAACATACATACATCAATTAAATTCATCATACTTCACATAATCACGTATTCAACATATTCCAGTCCAATTCACATGTTTACATATACAACATAACTCAATAATTCATGATTCAATAGATAATCAATCACAAATACCACAAATATAACATTCACATCAATATCACATATTTCACACCAATTCAATATTTCACATCGATAGATGTGACTCAAATGCGACTCTATGCAATATGCATGTGGTACCAATTGTTATCCTTAACGGTTTTTTCGTTTAAACTGTGTCCATCCTTTAGACAGATAACCACCAAAAAGCCCGTCCCCTAAGCTTCAAACCAATCCCATAAGTTTGGGACAAGTCACTAGCTTCCATGAAACTAGAAAACATTGTCTCTTGACAATAAATAATGCATGTGAAATCTCAACAATTATATGTAATTAAGACTATCTCTCAATCTTAATTATACAAGCATACATCAAATAATTCATCACATATGAATTATCCCATCATTGCACAAACATACATAATTCATGTCATCAATCACATACAATGCACTCTAATAGAATTAATTAACTCGACACACCATAATAACACATATCAAATAATGC